TGGTTGAATCAACAGGAGTTTATTTCGAAGCTTATTATCATATTCTTAAAACTCTTCAATCTACAAATCCTTCTTCTCTCCCATTTGAAAAATATTTTGCTCCGAATATTGATGACCTGCATGAATCAATAAATTGCGTAGTTGAACCACCTATGTACACTAGAGCACCGGGTTTTGAATTTGACTTATCGATTTTATGTGATAAACAGCAAACTTTAAAGTTAAATGTTGGCGATACAGGCAGTTACGATGAAGTAGCAAAGAAGGTTAATGAATATAGTAAATTGGATGAAACTCAAGGTAATTACCTAAATGTAGTATGTTCAAGTTTGATTGCAGAAAATTTATCTTATCACTTTATAATTTTATTCTTTTAGCGAAAGCATTAATCTCTGCTTTAACACGCGAGATTGCATTGATCGAAGGTCCACCCGGTACAGGAAAAACTGTAGTCGGTGTTGAGATCATGAAGGTGTTATTGGCAAAACAAAATCGAAAAACAAATATTGGTCCCATTCTCACCATTTGTTTTACGAATCACGCCCTTGATCAATTCTTGGAGGTACTGTGATATAAGACCTCAATTCTTTTTTTAATTCTGTGAACTTGCTGGATTGTTTCTTAAAATATTAATGCATATCATTCACACTCCTATTCACAGCATTTGCTTGACATAAACATAAAAAATATAGTTAGATTGGGCTCTCGGACGAAATCTGAAAGGATTAAAGAATTAAATATAGAAATGATATATCGACCCAATTCTTATGGCAAAGATGGATATGAATTACGTAATTCGTTAAAAGAAATCGAAAACCGCGTTAATGAACTTAACAACACTTTGTCCAATAACATGTTGAAATGGAAGGATGTATCCGGTTATCTGAAGAATAATGAGAAAAAGTTTTATGTTAAATTTGATCGCGTGAATAATTATGAGTTGCCAAGTTGGGTTTTAGGAACTTATAGTGACGAAGAAGAATTTTTGAATGAATATAAGGTTGTCCATAATAATAGATCAGCGAATTTACCCATATTTGAGAAATGGTTAAAAGGGATAGATATCGATATGATTTATGCTAGAAAGAATATTTTGTTAAATTCACAGCAGATGAATGGGAAAAAAAAGAAAAGGCCAACAAATAACAAGTGCGTAATTTTGGAGGATGATGATAGTGAAACGGACTCAAGTGATGATGAATCACAAACCGACCATGAAATGATACAATGGATATTGGATTACGAAGAACCTGAAACAGATCGCCCTTTGGAGTTATTACTAAATATAAATTCAATTTGGAAAATGTCAAGGATGGAACGAATAACTCTTCATGATTATTGGCGAATAAAAGTTAATCAGGAATCCAAAGAAATTTTATCAAGGTTACAATCAATGTATGATAGAATACGTAATGAATGGAGTGACATATATGACGAAGGACGTCGTCAAACGTTATCGTCTTGTGACGTTATTGGTATGACCACAAATGGAGCAGCTAAATTTCAAAATTTAATTCAATCTATCAAACCAAAGATTATTATTTGTGAAGAAGCTGGGGAAGTGCTTGAGGCTCATATCCTTAGTGCATTAACTCCCTTAACTCAACATTTAATATTGATCGGTGATCCAAATCAACTTCGACCACATGTCGCTACCTATTCCCTTAGTATGGATTCTAATCAAGGAAAAAATTATCAATTAGATAAATCATTATTTGAAAGATTAGTTAACGGTGATAATTCGTCTAAAATTGATAAAGTTCAACTTTTAACTCAGAGACGAATGAGAGAAATTGAAATTTCTGATCTAATTAGAAACACACTATATGAAGAATTAAAGGATGGTGAAAATACTTCTAAATATGAGAAAGTACGTGGTGCTCAACATAATGTTTATTTTATTAATCATGATCATCCTGAAGACAATTCTGATGGAGAATTTGCAACGCTATCTCATGTGAATAATTATGAAGTCAGAATGGTAGTGGAGATGGTAAAATATTTCATTAAGAATGGATATACTAAATCTGATGATATAGCTGTACTTACTCCTTATTTGGGACAAATGATGAGAATCAAGGATGCCTTATCTAGGTTATTTGTTGTAGTCTTGGACGAAAGAGATTCACAAGATCTTGCTGAAATGGAGGAAGAGCAAGAAGTTGTTAATAATTCCAATGAAGATACAAGTGTTTCTATCTCAGAAAAATCATTATATCAACAAGTCACTTTAAGAACTGTAGATAATTTCCAGGGTGAAGAAGCGACCATAGTCATCGTTTCTTTAGTTCGTAATTTCTCCAATTCTGATAGGTATGACTCTATTGGATTTTTAAAGAGCACAAATCGAAGTAATGTATTATTATCACGTGCTAGAGAAGGAATGTATCTTATTGGTAATTCTAAATTGATGGCTACAAGATCCGAAAAGATGTGGACTCCTGTAATTGATATGTTACAAACACGAAATCCTCCGCAAGTTGGTTATGGCATGCCAATTGCATGTCATAAGCATCCCGAATATAAGCATGTTATTGAAAACCCTGAAGATTTTGATCGAATTAGTCCTGATGGTGGATGTAATCAGGTAAATCCAAATTAGTTGAATGTTCAATTGTTATATATATAATATATTCTTTTTACACTTAACTTCATTTTTAGCCATGTCGTACAAAACTTCCTTGTGGACACGTGTGTATTTCTCTGTGCCATTCGGATGATCCCCATCATCTTAAAACTAAATGTAAAGAACCTTGTCCGAAATTACATTCAGTATGTAATCATCCATGTCCAAAGTATTGTTTTGATGATTGCGGAATATGTAATTTTCCTATGGGTGATATAATATTACCTGGTTGCGGACATACTTGGAAAAATGCCAGGTGTTGGGAAAATCAAAAGAAGGATGAAATCAAGTGCTTGACTCCAGTCCAAATACAATTACCTAGTTGTGGACACTCAAAAACCATTTGCGTAAGTAAATTTTTTGTTTATTTAATTATTTATTACATCAATAATAATTTTATTCGCACCCTTAGTGTCATGAATCCGTTGATGATGTCAAATGTTTTATTCGAGTTGAAAAACAATTACCAAGTTGCGAACACTCAAAAACCATTTTCGTAAGTCATTTATTTTTTTTGCTTGATTGCTTACCTTTTATTTCTTTTCTAATAATATTTTTTTTTTTAGTGTCATGAATCTGTTGATACCGTTAAGTGCAATGATATATGCGGAAAAATGTTAAATTGTAATCATGAATGTTCAAATCGATGTCATGTATGTCAAGACCTTTCGAAACCACGAGACATACGTAAAATCAAAGACGTAATGAATTGCGGAATCGTCCCTATTGAACGAACTAAGCATGCAGAATGCAAACATTTATGTAATAAATCATTATTTTGTGGACATAAGTGTGTAAAACAGTGTCATGAAGGGAGCGCATGCTCACCATGTGGTGCTAAATGTACAATATCATGTGATCATTTATCGTGTGATAAACGGTGTATAGAACCTTGTTCCGTATGTGCAGAAACATGTCCATGGGAATGTGAGCATCAAGGAAGATGTAGATTAAATTGTGGAGTTCCTTGTTTTAGATTGCCTTGTAATAAAAAATGTAACAAGAGGTTGGAATGTGGTCATATGTGTGCTGGAGTTTGTGGAGAAGTTTGTCCTTCAAAAGATTTTTGTATTACTTGCGCACCTGAATCTGTTAAAAGTCAAGGTATATTAAAATTTTGCGGGTTTATTTTTTTTATTATTATCGTCGTTATTACATTTTTTTTTTGATTTTTTCATCTTTTTGAAACAGTACCAGATGCAATTGTAAAAACTTTGTTTAGTGATGTGGATTGGGACGGGAAAAGGATGATTGTTCTTTCTTGTGGACATGCATATACTATGGAAACTATTGATATGCATATGGGAATGGAAGATTATTATGAAGGTTCGATCAAAAGTGGATGGACATCAGTTAAAATCCTTCCAACATCATTATCAAATGTAAAAACATGTCCAGAATGTCGAATGCCAATTAAAAATATTAGGAGATATGGAAGAATAGTTAACAAATGTATCTTGGACGCACAAAACAAAAAATTCCTAACAAAATATGTTAATCAATTGAATAATGTTACAAAGCGAATAATTTTTTTCGAAGATAATATGAAAGATAATCAGAGATTGCTACAAGGTCTAGGTTATTTGCCCGCTGATAATTCAAGAGTAAAAGAAAATGTATTTGGAGAGCATCAATTACCTGACGTTATCCCTTGTAAATATTTTAAATTTGTTGACAAATTTCATGGATTTGACAGAATTAGTAAAAAAATTTGGATGGATCGTGTCGGAGAATTATTAAAGTATTATCAAGAATTAATTTCCATTGTTCGTGCCACAAAATCACCACCCCATAAGAAAGCTTTTGATGCCTCCACCTCAACTTTGTAAGTAAAAATAAGTTATTAGTTTAATTTAATAAGAATCAATGTGGGGGTTTATTTTAATTAAACTTTTATTTCTTCTTTCATAGATATCAAGCTAAATTTTCAATGGTGGATCCTGAAAGTAATTTAAACGTTAGATTATCAAATCTTAAAATATCAGATGATGACGATGATTCCTCTAAAAATTTACTCTCTCAGAAAGGAATTTCGATATCGAAAGTAGATCGTCGAATTTATTTAGACACACTTTTTGAAATGGTCAACTTACAAAAAGTTCTTTTCAATGAAATTTTATTTATAATTCAAAAAATTATGAAAGCTGAAAGACCAATAGCTACAAGAGTTGAAGAAGTTTGGAAAAAATTTGGTGAAAGATTACTACTTACTATTGAAAAACACCTAAATACGATTCAGGTAGTGGCAAAATCTACTCGTTATGGCAGACACCTTCTTTTGGTTAATGTAGAAATATTAGAATTAGGTCATTATAAGCATATGTATCAATCAAAATATTCGCCAAATAGATTTGCTTTTGATAATATACCTCAGACGAGAATTATGACAGGTCGTATTCATAATATTTTTCCTAATTTTTCTACGTATAATATCATTGCAAATGGAAAACTTGAAAGCCATCTTGATAACAGATTAAGAGATTTAATTAAAGAAGTTGAATCTTATGATAATGATCTGAACGAAACTACACTTACTTTGCAAGAATCGGTATCAATTCGTGATGAATGCTATGATCTCAAACCCAATAAATCGGACACTATACAAGAGACGAATATTGAAGGAAAATTAGAAATTCATCGTGTGATTAAAACTGAATTTAAAAATTCAGGTATGTCAAAATGGATATGATTTTTTTTGTTTTTTTCTTGAGAATGATTTATTTAAAAAATTCTTTATTTTATCGCTTTTCAGCTTGGGATGAATGTCCTAATGGCCATCCGGTAATTTCATTTGTTTATTATTTTTAATTATTTATATTTGGTAAATTAATTTTTTTTATAATTTCAGTATACGATCGGGGAATGTGATGGAGAGATGCAAATTGAATGTCCTGATTGTAATGCAATAAATTGGTAGAAGAACTCAAACCGGATATGCAACTTGGCTATAAAAGTATAATGTGAAAATTAAACATTTTGGTTTATTTGCAACTTCACAAATTCGTATCGCAATTTTCACTTATTAGAAATATTAAAAATAGTGGACTATGTTTGTATAAAGACATTACACTTTTTTTTTTTTTTAGATTTATTCATTAAAATTAAAGCAACGATTATCGGTCGAACCCAAAAAAGTAGCAAAATAAAAACAAAAAGTAATTTAGCGTTTTAAAAAAAAATATCGTTGTTTTCTGATTTTTTAGGTTAGGTTCTTTATTAAACCAAATTGTAAGTTTATTATAATAATTAGCAAAAATCTTTAATAAACAATTTTACAAGTTTAATTTCTTTAAAGAGAAAATTTTAATTTCATTGAAAAGTTTATATTAACTAGTGCATCATAGTTTTATTATTATTTTCTATTATTTTACTGTTCCTTCACTTTATTCCTAATCTTTTACTATATATTTTCATTAACATTTTTCAATAATAAATTCTAATTTTCCATCAATTTTTCTATTTCTAACTTAATTTATATTTTTATTTTCTATTTCTTACCTATGTTTTCTTTCTCATTTATTATTTCTAAGATTATTATATATTTTATTATACATATTATTATATTTTATTATGATAGTTTCATAACCTCAAATAAAATCTTAAAAGGATAAATAAATTAAGACAATTACTCAAGAAATCGCAGGTGAGGATTCACAATAATATTAAAGATTATTCTCAATATAAAGTCACTTAAGATAAACACAAAATAAATATAAAGATAACTCAAAAATATTTTAGAGATTACACTTTAGAGACTTTAAGTCAATACAGCAAATGAATACAATATCATATGAGAAGTTCACTAACAATAATTAAAGGAATTGCACAAATGTAAAGAATCATAATTAATATATAATAATTTTAAAGGGTTGTAAAAAATAAGTTTTATACTTAGTTAATTATACATTTTTATTAATATAATATATAAGTTCTATACCTAAAAGATTAACATCTCATCAGTACTAAAACTTAAAGAAAATACAGAGATATTTATACTATTAGATGAATAATAAAATAAATTAAACTAAATATATCAAAGAAAATAAAGTTGCTATTTCGCTAGGCAATAAAGTTGCTGTGTCAATAAAATTGCTAGATTTACAGGTAACTAAATGGACATCTATGATCTACATGACTATTAAGGGCAATAAAATTAATATCTAAGAATTTGTATAGTTGATCAACAGTAATAAAATGAACAAAATGATCTTCATAAAAGATCTTTATAGCAATAAAATTGACTTCATATTCTACCAATTAAATCTATCTAAAATTTTACTCATCACATTTCTCTTTTCTTCAATTTAAGCTCTGTCAAAGAATTTTTCTTTCTTCTCTTAATTCTCTTGGATAAGGCTATAAGGGTAATTCTTAATTTTTGAGTATATTTACATTTTATATTTTCCAGAAGTTCTTTAGGAATTTCGTTCTTTATGATATTAGATCTGGAATTATCTTAAACCAAGTTAACAAAATTAATAAACTTAATAACACAATTATTTCAAAGGCCTTTTCTAAGAGAAATTAACAATTAACAAATAAATAATTTATTATCATAATTCACTTGTGTAGTAGGTTATCATGATCAATCCTATAATGAAAATAAGAAAAAGGTTGAAAGTGTAAAATAATAACTTTATTAACTAGAGTTATAAGTCTAGTCTCAAGACTTATCTCAATCTCTAAGCAAAACTCTGTTGATTCAAGATTAACTTGCAGGTCTATTTATATAAAACTATTAACTAATATTATACTACACTTTTCAATAAATACATATAATTAAAATAATATTGTCACCGTGGAATTCTTCAACTCAGGGTGATCACGTTATCAAGTCTCTACTCAAAATTTCTAACTGCGGTTTACTGCGGTTAAGACGTTAGGATCCGCCTAGCTCTTAACTTTGTCAGAATTACACGTTA